TACGTAATTAGGATTATTATTATTATTATTATATTATTATTATTATTATTATTATTATTATTATTATTATTATTATTAATCGTGAAAAAAATTGCATATTTAGTACTGGTGGTTTAGCGTCATAACATTTTTAGTCTCAATATTCATACTTTTTGCTTTTTGATCTTGTAATTTAGTATTTTGCAATTTGAGTAATTTGGAAACTGAAATTGCAACAAAAATTTAAATTACAGGACTTAAATTGCTAATACAAAATTATTGAGCTGAATTTAAGTTAAGTTAATTTAAAATTTTATTGTAATTTTAGTCATTAAAAGACTGGAAGGCGTTGAATTTTTAAATCATAGGACCAAGTAAATAAATTATCAAATCTTAGGACTAAAAAGGCCACTGGATTAAACCAACAGAAATAAAAATGCAATTTTGATTTTAATCATTTATGTGCATGTGTATCAATTTCAGGAAATTTAGTGTAATACCGGTTTAGAAATATTGCGCTGGTTTGATATTGCAACAAATTTAACATTACAGGACTTAAATTGTTAATCAAAAATCCATCTCAAGATTTTTTATTAAAAATTTAAGTCTTATAATTTAAAATTTTGTTGAAATTTTAGTCCTCAAAAGACTGAAATTTTGTTGAATTTTTAAATCACATGACCAAGTAGCAAAATTTTCAGATCTTAGGATTAAAAACACCAATGGAACAAACCAACATAACTAAAATTGAAAATTTTGCTTTAAATCATTTAGCGTGATATCGGTTTAGAAATATTGCGTTGGTTTGAAATTGCAGCACAATTTAAAATTACATGATTTAAATTGTTAATCAAAAATCCATTTCAAAGATTTTTTTATTAGCAATTTAAGTCCTATAATTTGAAATTTCGTTGCAATTTTAGTCCTCAAAAAACTGAAATTGCGTTGAATTTTTAAAATCACAGGACCAAGTAGCAAAATTTTCAAATTTTATGACTAAAAAAGCCACTGAATCAAACCAACAGGACTAAAATTATAATTTTGCCTTTAATCATTTATGTGCATGTGTATCAATTTCAGGAAATTAATTTAGTGTAGTATCGTTTTAGAAATATTTGCATAGTCAAAAGAATACTAATTAAAGACAATATTCATGGATCTTCTTATATCAATTTACCAATTAATATGCATAAAAATGTTCATATGCCAATTATTCCAATGCATATTATTATGGTTAGTCGAGACTGGTCATAGTGTGTGCACTCCTACATAGTATTTTAGACTGTAAAAATGCCTTTTTTATAGTGAATATATGATTATTACTAGTAAATTTCCGGATGTGTTAAACACAACTCATATGAATTTTTCTTTTCTTTTTTTCTTTATTTTTACTTTTTATGAAGATCAAATTTTGATTGCAGAACATTGAAAAAAAAAATATTTAATTTTGTTGTTTTTATTATTATAATTATTTTTTGTTTTTGCTATTTTTCATTAAAACTAAATCTTGTTTTTGTGTGTGCGTGGTAAAGAAACATTTTAAAGCATGTAAATGTATTTTGAAGTTTTTAATGAGAATTGATTTATTAGGTTCATTATTATTTTTTGTAGAACAGAAAAATAGATCTACATCATTAGACATATTTAAAAAATAATAGTTTATGATATTATTAGATATTATGAGACTTCACTATTTTAACCTTGTAATGTATTATATTTTTCATTTGTGATATAGGTATAAATACCCCGTTAGGGTTAAGTGAATACTCACTTTGTTCCTTTTTTATTTCTTGTAAAAGCTGCTCTCGTTCTTCTTTATTCTCTCCTGAGAATCCATTGACTTTTCTGTATAGATTTGCGTTCAATGTTTATGTGTTTCTGTTTCAATATGGTATCATTCGCCAAGTTCTGATCGATCTTGATCCTGATTTCTAATTTTCCGTTGCATTCTCTATTTGTTCGATTTTTTCACTTTTCTATTTCTGATCTCGATCAATTTGCGACTTCGGTCTCGATCTATATCCTTTAGATTTGTATTTCGATCACGATTTTGATCTTATTACTGAAGATTATTGATCTGCACTCACCATTTCATGGCGACTTCTGATTCTCTAACGTCGATACAGTATGTCATCCCCAGCGATAATCGTGGTGTTGTGATTGTCGTCGATCTGTTCAACAACAAAAATTATGTTGCTTGGTCCCGTGTTATCCTTGATTTCTATGCATTTCATGGCATTCTTCATCAAACTTTATGTGTAGAAACACCTCAACAAAATGGCAGAGTTGAGAGGAAACATCAACATCTACCTCAAGTTGCTAGAGTTATTCTTTTTTCATGTTCACTTGCCTCTAAAATTTTGGATTGATACGCATATAATCAATAGACTGTCATCATCTATTCACAAAAACATTTCACCTTTTGCAAAGTTATATGGAAAACAACCCACTCTTGATCATTTGAAAGTCATTGGCTGCTTATGTTACGCATCTACAATATCTACACATAGATCTAATTTGATCCTAGGGGATCCAAATACATTTTGATTGGTTATCCTCTTGGTTGCAAAGGGTATAGTCTTTACAATCTGGATATCAACAATTTATTAATCTCCAGAGATGTGTCCTTTTATGAACATGTTCTTCCTTTCAAACATAAGCACTTTCTTTCAATCAACTCCACTCCCCTATTCCTAGAACCTCCATCATTTGTTTTTGATAATACATCCTCTCAGCAATCAAATCAAAACCAACACATAAACTCCAATCCAATTCAACTTTTCTCTCAGAACACACCTCGTACATATATACATCATATGTACCTTCACATACTTCACCTCTTGCACCTACACATAGTACATCTCCTGAACCTAAATCAGAAGATCAACTAGACACAAAAATCACTCAGCTTACCTCAACATATATGATCATTCTCTTCCCCCATTCAACCAATTCTTCAATATCCATACATGTTGACACATCTAGAACATCTTATTCTATCAGTGATTTCTAATTATCTTCTTCTTCATTATCACTACAATATGGCTACTACACTGCATCTATCTCACAAATAACTGAGCCCAAAACCTCAAGCCAAACTTGGCCCTTTGTGGCAGTAAATAATGAAAAAGGAAATCATTGCATTAGAAAACACAAACACTTGGGATCTTGTCACTTTAGAAATGCTCCCCTACCCACGGTAGGCACATGTTAATATGCCCACCGTGTAGGTGGCATGCACTCATTGTTGATGTTAATATATATAAAAAGTACATCACCAATGAATGCATGCCACCTACGCGGTGGGCATATTAACATGTGCCCACCGTGGGTAGGTGAGCATTTCTCCTTGTCACTTTACCATAAAATCAACATTGCATAGGGTGCAAATGGGTTTACAAAGTCAAATACAAATTTGATGGCACTATAAAAAAGTACAAAGTTAGGTTAGTTGCAAAATGTTAGACACGAGAGGAAGATATTGATTATTTTGATATATTTTCTCATGTTTCCAAGACAACCACTGTTAGAGTTTTACTTGTTGCAATTTAGTTTGTCTTATCACCCTAAAAACGATGGATAAACAAAAGTGGTAAATAGGAGTTCAATCATTAAAAATCCACGACAATGGGATGTGATCTTGCCTCAAGTAGAGTTTATTTATAATCGTTAGACAATTCAACTACTAAGTAAAGTCCGATTCAGGTTGTGCAAAGCAGCAAGCTGATCACTCTTTGGCTTTGGCTCCCCTTCTACTACTCTTCATTTTAGTGGTGACGGTGAAGAGAATTCAGAGCACATCAAAAGGTTGCATGAGCAAGTTTGTCATGAGATTATCAAGCAAAATGAAAAGTATCAGAAAGTTATAAACAAGATCGGAAGAAGACTATTTTTAAGAAGGAGATTTGGTTCACATTGACTTAAGGTAGAATCATTTTTTCTCGTGGGCGACATATAAAAATCAAACCTAGAGCTAATGGAAGTTTTAAGAATCTGAAGAAGATCGTAGAAAACACTTACACGGTGGAACTTCATATTAACTATGGTGTTTTCGGTACTTTCAATGTATCGGATCTTTCTCCTTACGTTAGAAATGCTCTCGATAAAGATTCGAGGACTAATCATTTCCAACCCCGAAGAGAAAGACATAAAAAAATGTTCCTAATACAATGTCAACTTCAATGAATAAACAACTTTATTGACTTTGACTTTAGAGACGTGTGATATCTATATATATA